AAATTTTATTGGTAAAAATTATAAAGCTCCTATCTCTTTAAGCAATTTGGAACACTGCACAAATTTTGTATATATGATATCAGTACTTGTCCAGTTTGACAGACAGTGCTGATAACTTAATTTATAAAACAAACAGAAAAACTGGCTTCATTGGATTTATGTTTAGCCTTCAATCAGTAATTCAACTTAGCCGATACTTGATTTTATCTCTAAAAAGCCAATTTAAATTCTTGTTGACATACAAACTGAATCAAGATCATATTGAAATGTTCTTTAGTGCTATTAGAAGTCAACGTGGTTTTAATAACAATCCATCAGCAAAACAGTTTATGACAACGTATCGGCGTTTATTAGTACATCACTCATTACGAAACATAAAAACTGGTAATTGTTTAGCTCAGGATGCTACAGAAATACTTTCTGTAACAAACAGAATTGTGAATCATCAGGAATGTAAATTTAATGACGATGATTCAACTTTATTTATAGCTAATGAAGATACTACACCAGTAAGTATTATGGAACCATCACAATTGCTTGAATATTCTGAAGAAGTGGTGAAGTATATAGGTGGATTTGTTAGTAGAAAACTAAAAAGATCTATTAAATGTAAGGCCTGTACTGCATCTCTTACTGATGATAATTCACAAAGTTTACTTGTTGATCAAAAAAGCAGAGATGGTCTTCTTCATCCATCAAAAGATGTTATTTTAATTTGTTCTTTTGTTGAAAAGTTTATTAGACATAGCATTCCAGACAAATTGAAAATCAATGAACTACAACTTTTTATGAAATCTATTCCATATTTAAAATTGACTACCCACCGCCAATTATTTTCTAAAGCAATTTTTCAAGGATTTACAAATCACATTCAGGAACTTCCAGTGGAAGATAATCATTTGGTTAAACTGATCAATTTGATTATAGAAGCTTATTTAGATGTACGTTTATACCATGTCTCATCCTGTGCAACAAGTTATATACAAGGAGCACAAGTTCGAAACAAACTAACTAAACTTGTGTAGTTATATATATATATATATATATATATATATATATATATATATATATATATATATATATATATATATATGTATATATATATATATATATATATATATATATATATATATATATATATTATATATATATATATATATATATATATATATATATATATATATATATATATATATATATATATATATATATATATATAATATATAATATATATTCATAACACTAAAAAAAAAATACCTTGATCCAAGAAATTAAGTACTTTGTCAATATACGATATTCCAAACATGTATTTTATACATAAATATAGGTATATATTATAGTAAATATTCATAACACTAAAAAAAAAATACCTTGATCCAAGAAATTAAGTACTTTGTCAATATACGATATTCCAAACATGTATTTTATACATAAATATAGGTATATATTATAGTAAATATAATATACATAGATATATATGTATATAAATATGATTAGTTAGTCTTCTGAATACACCATTTTTTTGAACCCAAATCAATATTCAGTAAAAGTATAATGCCAAACTTTAGACTGTATATTTTATTTGCTAGTACAACTTCACTTTAAGTAACTGTTTATTATCAAATCTTCAGGTGTCTTGACTTGAGTGATGCTAATGAATTGTTAATAGGCTCAAGTCATGAGGTAATAACTTAATGATTAAAATTATAAATGCTCATTAAATAAATTCTCTTTAAACTTATTAATACATAGTACTTTTAACAAACTTTTTATAACAGTAATATGCTTTATAATACATATATTATATTACATATTACTTTTATTAAACTACTATTTACGAATTTGTATAAAATCGTTTTGCCTCACTCTACGTCACTTTTTCAACGGTCGCTCGGCTTCCAAAATTATATGGTCAGACATACCTACGCTGTATCCAGTAATTTATATCTCTATGGTTTTTATATAGTGTATTATTTTAAAAAAATCATAAAAAAATTGTTTTTTAAAGAATTCTTTATATAATTTTAAAACTCAGTGAAAATATTTCTTGGGTGAAAAATAATAATATTAAGTCTTCTCCTTTATTAAAGGAGACGATATATATATATATATATATATATATATATATATATATATATATATATATATATATATATATATATATATATATATATATATATATATATATATATATATATATATATAATAAGTAAAATTAGTAAAAATTGATGAAAAAAGTAGTTTAATTGGACAATTTTGTATAGTGGGCGTTTAGTGCAACGTTCGCTGATTGCCAGCGTTGGCCCTAAATTGAATCAATGCTGGCTTGCCACTTGCAAAACGTTGCTGCGCCAGCACTGGCTTGCGTATAGTGGCCCTTTGAAAAACCAATGAACAACCCGGCGCTGGCGAAAAATGTGCTGAGTCTAATGATGAGCATCAAATAAAAGGTAAGAGACATAAATTTATATTTATATTTGTCAAAACTTTTTATCAACCACGATATTTAGCTATTTGTTTGTTTGTTTTTAAACAAGAAATGGAAATAGAACTTGAAAATTGTACTGGATTAAGTTTTGAACGTTCAGGAAAAGGTATAATATTTATTTTTCTTTGTCCTTGATTTGTTTTGTTTTGCTCACCTATAGAAATAAAACAGATTTAATTTTTTTATAGATTACGACAAAGTTTAATCTTTTTGCTGATTTATTAAATCAGGATTGTTTATTTTTTTAATGATTATCCTTTGTTTTAGCGGATAGTGAATGTGTTGATAAAACTAATGTTTTTGATTGGGTGGTTTGTGCTGGCATGATTGAAAAACTTGTTTCTAGCTTTAAGGAATGTAGTCAACTTTTAACAAAACTTAAAACAGATTTTGAACTAAACCCAATATCATTTTTAGTAGAAATTTCGCATATTATAAGTTTAATTAAAAATGAATCTACACAATATTTCTTGACAACAGAAGAAGTTTTGAATAACTTATTAGCTAATGATGCAATTGAATCTGGAAATATTTCCAATAGTATACCTGAACATGATCCTGGAAAGAGAGAAATTGTAAAACCCTCAGCTCAAAGAAAGTATCTTTTAAGTCTTGGACCTTACCAACCTAAATTGGCTAAATATCCAAAAAACGTTAATATTTCATCTGACAAACAATGTCAGTTTACTTCACTATGGTTCAATGAATTTCCACATTTAGAATACAGCATTCAAAAAGACGCAGCATTTTGTTTTATTTGTTCTCTATTTCCCAATGGACCAGATAGAGTTTTTTCCGATATGGCATGGGTTCAAGATGGTGTTCGAAGTTGGCATCAAATATAAAGTAGAGGTAAAAAAAAACAGGGTAAACTTAAACAACATTATTCTTCAAAATCACATAACTCAGCACTTATTGATTTTCGAAATTTTTTGACTTCATCCAACCATATTGACTGTATTCTCAACAAGGTAAACAGAAAAGAAGCAATTGAAATAGAACATAAAAAATTGTTTCATAAAGAAGTGATTACTATATTATTAGATATTACTCGTACTCTAGCACGTCAAGGTCTTGCATTGCGCGGAGATGCTGATGAAGAAAATAGTAATTTTAATCAAATAGTTTTATTAATATCTCGACATAATCCAACCCTGAAAACCTGGATTAATGATAAAAAGTTTAGAAAAAATAAAGTTACTTATCTTTTCCATGATTCTCAAAATGAATTCATTAACTTATTAGCAGATGAAACCAAGAGAACAATTATAGAGCAAGTAAAAAAATCTGAATTTATTTCTGTGTTGGCATATACAACGCCCGATGTTTCGCATCAAGATCAATTGTCAGTTTGCTTACTCTTTGCTAGACTCTTCAGGCGAAGTCTCTGAAAGACTAATAGCAGTATGTGAAGCTTTGGATAAAACTGGACTTGGAATTGCTGAAAAGATTAAAGAAGTAATAGAAAAAAATAGTCTATCCTGCGAAAATATTGCTTTTCAGTCGTACGACTTTGCAAGCAGTATGTCTGGAAACATCAACGGGACGCAGCAAAAAATTTCTGATCTTGTTGGTCATGTAATTTGTTTTATTCCCTGTCATGTACACCGAGTTAATACTTTTTTGGAACACAGCTATGATGCAAGTGCATTAATTGCGGATTTATTTTCGATTCTTGAACATTTATATGTTTTCTTTTCATCTAGTACAAAAAGGTACGCTCATTTATAATGTAAAGTATCTGAGATAGAAAATTCGCTTCAAATAAGAAACCTTTCAAAAACTAGATGGACTGCTCGAGCAGAATCTATTAGAGCAGTATGGGTATCTTATGAGGCAATATTAGAAGCACTTCATGAAATGTCTTCAAGTTTAAATTTTGATAAAAAGACATGAACACAAGCATTCGGACTTTCAAAAAAAATTTTGTCATTTGATTTTATTTTCGCTTTGTACTTTATGAAGAGCATTATGTACAATATGAAAATTTTAACGCAAAAACTTGAATCAATAGAACTTAATGTAATTGATGCATTATTATTATTAAACAGTACAATTAGCATTTTAAAAGAAACGAGTAGTGACGATACAAGCATGAATAATCTTGTAGAAAGTTCAATACAATTTGCTTGTAAACTAGGCATTGATCCTACTTATGAGTTTAATCGAGCTCATAGGAGAAGATTGTTACCTAAGAAATTAGATTCTAATTCTAATTCGCAAGCAACTGTTGACATGAAAACCTTTTATAGAGCAGAATTTAAAAAGGTTTTAGATAAATTAATAACATTGTCTATGGAACATTTAACAAAATGTATGTCAACCATAGAGCCTATTTTCAATCTATTTTCAACGCCATTAAAATCAAATATCCATCCAGAATATCTAAAAAAAGTAATTGCACAATTTCCCCCAGGAAGTTCTGCTTCAAAGTTGACTGACTATGACGAAGTCTTTTCGGAATTTTCAATATTAGTTCATCATTGCTTGGATATTTCAAATTTGAAAGAAATATTAAAAACATCAGAATCTTTGAAACATCTCTTACCGAATGTTATTATGATGCTTCGGTTGGTGTATACAGCTCCTGTTAGTACTGCATCTAACGAACGATCATTTAGTAAATTAAAAATAATAAAGAATTATTTGAGGTCAACATCGTCTTCCAGCCGCTTACAAAATTTAATGTTGTTGAATTATAACAAAGATATTTTAGATAAAATTGATCTAAAATTACTAACTGATAAATGGTCAATTTTAAAAGAAAGAAGAATTATTGTATGAAACATTTTTTAGCAATCAAATAAAATTATTTGTCGGCAAATCGATGACTTTTTTTTTTAAGTCGGCAAATATCCCTATGACACCCCCTAACTTGGCACCTACTCGCGCCGGCCCTATATATATATATACATATATATATATATATATATATATATATATATATATATATATATATATATATATATATATATATATATATATATATATATATATATATATATATATATATATATATATATAAACAAAAAGAGAGAGATACAGATATAGACATATACAGATATATACAACAGCTATATTTAGCTATACTCTTATAATTTTGTTCATAAAAACACTTGATATACGACTGCGTTTATGTTTATAGAAGCAATACGAAGAAATTTGCTGACAAAAGATACCGTATACAGCGAATTTAAAAGGCAGTTGTGGCTTTTTTTTTCTGTAGCTCTAGACAGAAATAGAGGCAGAAAAGAAAGAGCAGAAAAAAAGTTCATCCAGAAAACCAGTTCAACAAAAAATCGTGGCTATACTGCTTAATCATTGACATTGAAACCTTTATCTGGATTATCATTACCACAATTTGAACGCTTTATTTTTGATGAATCTGACAAGGTATAATGTTCTCAAAGTCTTGCATGATCTGTTTTATATGTTATGTTTTATATTAATTGTATATTTGACATTATTATAAGCTTTACAAGTATTTATATTATTAATGATAAATTTAATGCATTTATTTTTTATATATTTTTAATGCAAATTTTACTAACTTGTAAATTATTAACAAAAAATATATTATATGAATTCAATAATTGTTTTTTGTTTTTAACTTATGTCTATTTTAACAAAAAGTAAAAAAAATACATAACTGACAAACATAATAGATATAATAATTATTTTTATATAATTATATAAGGTTTATATATATATATATATATGCATATATTTATATATATATAAATATATATATATATATATATATATATATATATATATATATATATATATATATATATATATATATATATATATATTTATATATATATATATTAAACGTCAAAACAACGTTTCGACAAAACGCTTAGATTTGGTCAATTATCTATTTAAAATAAAATCCAGATAAACGTTTAGAACAAACGTCCATAAAACGTCTAAATTCAAACGTATTTACGACGTCTATTATAGGATTATTATACGTATATAAAGCGTTTAGATTTTGTCTAATTTACGTTTAAATCTAGTCTAATTAACGTATATAAAGCGTTTAGATTTAGTTTAAGTAAACGTATATTAAACTATTAGATCTTGTCTAATAGTTTCATTGATTTAGTTAACATAATTTCAATTTATTTAAGTTTTAAAACTTACATAAATTAAAATTGCATTATAAGTTTTTAACTTTATATAAGTAATAAGAGCTAATTAGGTCTTGAAACTTATAAATAAGATATAGTTATAAAAGATCTGGTCTTATTTTTTATATTTTTTATAACTATTTCAATATGCTTATACTATACTATTTACACTATACTTTTATATTATAATATAAAAACTATATTAATAGTATTATATTATAATATTAGCTATATCATATTATAATATAAAACTATATATAAAGTTATAAACTTATATAAAACGTTTTCATATAGTGGGGATTTAGAGAAAAATTTTTCGTGCGCTATACTTGTTTATGCTTCGATAATTAACTTGTTATGCTTCGATAATTAAAAAAATATTTATTGATCAAGTATTTTGCAGTGGAAACTTTATAGTAGCAATTTCTGTCAAACATTTTTTAAATTTAATCTCATTAGCAGAAAATAAAAATTTACATTAAGATTAAATTAAAGGTTTCTAATAAAATTAATATACTCATAAACTTACATTTTGGATCAGTGTTTTCTCTGGTTTATGCATTACCAAAAATCTTCCTAGTATACCTTCTACCACTTTTTTTCTAAAGGACCTTTTTTTTTATATAAGAAAATTCTTGATATAGAGGACTTTTTTCATAAATTTATGATTGTCCCCCCTCCCCTTATTTTAAAACCCGTATCGTCGGTCCTGACCGCTTGTTTATCATGCACTTGTTCTTGTACAATATCATCTTCTACATTCGTATCATGATCGTCTGATTTCGTAAACTAATTTGTAACCGGAAAAAACTTATGGCAAAAGAGTTAACATTTTTAATGTACGCTCATAAATCAAAATTAGAATTCCTAGCTAGCACACTTACGTTGGGTCAACGATAAAATTATCGTTTTGGTTAATGATAAAATTATTACCGACGGAACTAAAAGCATCTGTCAAATTTTGAATGAATACTGATCTTAGCAATAAACAATATCAAATTATCAGAAACTCAGCTCTTATAAATAATGTACATATTCATCTTACCTTGCACGATATTTTAGTTAAACCATTGAAATGCTATCCTGAAAATATATATTTTTCTGAAATTTCTTCAAAGTGTACTCTTCAAAGCATGCTAGATCACATAGTTAATAGAATAACTGAAATGATTGATATGCCGAATGTGGTAACGAAAGATAACGAAATATTTGGAGTTTTATATGGAAAGATTGGTTTTGATGGAACATCAAGCTAAAGAATTTATAAGCAGAAATGCGAGACAAGTAACATAATTAAAAAATTTAAGCATGAAGAAAATCTTTTTACTATAGCTTTTGTGCCTCAATTGCTCAATATAGGATATGATAAAATTTGGAAAAATGGAAATCCTTAAAGTTACTATTTTTTTACACCTCTTCATCTACAACATAAAAAAGAGAGTCCAATTTTATTCAAAGAAGCAGAATCAGATCTAAATAATCAAAAAATTGCCATTTCACAAAGTTTTAAATATTCATGAAAAATAATGACCTTTAATATCTACTATAGATTTGATTTTACAATGTTTGATAATAAAGTAGTTAACACACTTACAAAAAGACAAAGAGACAAAACCCACTCAATTCTGCAATGTGTGCCATGTTAAACCCAACAAAAAGTACAGTTTTTGCAGTTATTAATTTAGCAAAAGCAAAAACTGAAAACGAGTCAGATGATGAATCTATGCACTATGATGAATCAGATGCACTACCTTCTAGTAAAATCAGATCCAAAAGTATCAAGCATGTTTTTAGAAAACATAAGAGCTATCGAGGAAAACCGTTACCAAATTAAATTATGAAATTAATTATAATATAAATAAATTAAATGTAATAAAATATAGTTTTTTTCACTATGTATCAACATCTTTTACATTACTCTGGTTAATATTTTATAAAAATATCAAGTAGAGTAATTTATCAAGATAATGTTTTTGTCTTAAATATTCTAAAACTTAAAAAAAGTATTTTGTACGCGTATAGTCAACTTTAAAGTGTGCATAAACGTGTAAGCGCGCGTAAAAAAAAATTTTATTAATAAATTTGACCCAAAAACTATTATTTTAACATATAACATGTTTTTTTTAGGATTCAGATTAAACTTTATTTAACTTTTACCGTTTTTTGATGGTTCTGAGTCACCGTGCGTTGGTAGCCAAAGCCGGTTCAATGCGGCAGCCTATAGAGGACCAGTGCGGACCATTATATCTTTGCGGTCTGGGTTTGAACGTTAAGTTGAATAGAACTCTTAAACCAGTCTACTTATTAACAACGAACCTTGATCCAAAGTGATGATTGAATCCAATTCAATATTAAATACTAGGAATGCATAGTGACAAAGGAACAACTTTTTAAAACTTTAAGTTTTTTGCACGACCTGTATATTGAGCTATATTTATGAAATGTAGACAACCTCATTCAATACTTCGAGACATTGATAAAATATTGTAACTTTGTTTTAATGTGGTAAAAAAATATCAAGTTTTTCAAGAATGTTTTTGTTGTTTTATTTTATTTAAAATTTATCAGAGAATTATTTTCTGAAAAATCATTTTTTAAAACTCAGTAAACTTAAGGAAAGCAAACTTAAGGAAAACAAAATTTAATGAACCTTGCTTTTTTACGCGCCCTTGACAACCTCCATAGCAAAGGTTAAATTTATACTTGGCCAAGAAATTCTCCCTAAATGTAACTTTTGATACTAAGAAAGAGCTTGTTGAAATAAGTTTATAATTTATTTCTATTTTCCATTAATCAAAACATCTTTGGTTAAAAAAAAGGTTAAAAGCAATAACTGGGTTTCTCATAAATTTCTCTTTAAAACGAAATGTCATCTTAAAGTTATATATATATATTTGTGCATTTTTTTATGTTTATGTAATTTAAACTTTATACTTTTAATGGGTAGAGAACGTGTGAAATTTGCTACTCAATACCAAAAGAAAAAAAGATTTCATGGAGATCAATATACTTTAAATAAAACAAATTCAGCAAATACTTGTCTTCTACTAACAGATTTATGTAGAGTTTTTGATATTAACCAAAGGTCTATTTTTGCAATGCATTCATGTGGACAGAGCTATACTGGCCTGAAAAGATTCTGTTTTCTTATGGATCTTACATCGCCAATGACTAAAAACACTTACATTAAATTGTTTATAAAATTGCTAATGAAGTTGAAGCAATTGCAGTAGAAACCATGACTAATGCTGCACTTGAAGTTATAAAAACATCCCAACATACTACTGATCAATCTAATTTAATAAATATCTGTTTTTCTTGTAATGGTACTGAGCAATGTCGAGGTTTTTTCTTATACAACGGTGTTTATACTGTAATATCTATGATTACAGAAAAAGTTTTGGATTTTGAAGTATTATCCAAATATTGCAAACAATGTTTTTTTATTGGAAAGAAAAAAAATAATGATCGAAAACATCCCAATCAATCTTCTCTCTATTAACCTGGCCCTGGTTTGCCAGGTGATATTATTGAGTTACTAAAACCAGTTCATAAAGAACTTAGCTCTAATGAATTGCTTGCAAAATGTACGTATATAAAAACTCAGAACCAAAATGATAGTCTTAACATGATGATATGGGAGCGAGTATCAAAAAATAAATTCTGTTCATTGTTACATTTGAAATTTGCAACATATGGTTAATAAATTTGCATAACTTGCATAAATTTGCAATAAATTTGCAAACTTTAGTATTGGAAGAAAAGCATCAATGATGATTTATGAAAAACTCAATATAAATCCAGAAACATTTATGATAGATGGCTGCAATATAGAAAATAAAATACGTTTTCATCAGTCATCATACAAAAATAAATCCAATGTAAAGTTGCATAGAAAAACAATCAAGGCAATAAAAAGAACAAAAATGATAAGGAAGAGAAAAAATAAGAAACTTTTTATACGGCTGGTAGCTTTTAAATAATTTGACCTTAAATTTACATACATTGTTTATTTTTAAAATATTTATTTGCATTTTTTTCTCTTCTTTGATTTTTAAAGTCTTTTTTTGCTAACTTCTAATTTTCAATCTCCCGTTACAGTTATTTCATTTTCTAGAGATCAGTTTTTAACCAAATTTTCAGCAATTTTTGATTTGTTTTTATATGATGATTTGTTTTTATATGATGTATGCAATCTGCCAAAGTTATTTATAAAACATTCAGAATTTGAGATATTGCTAATTCAGCACTAAAAAATTGCTTATTTAAAAATCTTCATAATCCGTGTAGTGGAAACTAATGATCAGATTTAAAAACTTCCGGCAGATTGCATAGATCAAACTGTTTTTTATCAATGGGCCAAGTTTTACTTTGAACACTCTTTTAGAATCTGAGATATTTTTAACGGTGCGATGTGCATATTTTTTTTATATTCGCCATTTTAAGTAGTTGTCATGACAACATGACCACCTGTAATTTTATAAATCAATTTCGTTTAATATGATCTTTTATTTGCTTAATTTTAATTTTGACTATAAGATTTCACTTCCAAGATAATTTTGAAAGAAGGGGGGGGGGGTATAAGAGTAGATAATTTTGAAGGGGGTATACCATCTTAATATAGTTACGTAATAATACGTTATTTTTTTAGAAGAACCTGAAATGACTTTTATAATACAAAATTTATCTATTTCAACAACAACAACAAAATGGTAATGTATGAATACAAAATATTTTTGTATACGATATTTAGGGCGCGGAACCAAAGGAGCATTCCGCAGTTGGGGCTTTGTCTTATGGCACTTATTTTATACAACTTGTATACTTCTGCACCTCGATTTTGCTAACTTAAATCATTTCATGACACAGAAAAAATGCAACAGTGCGAAAAACACTATGAAAAGTGCAGCAGCGCGCAACCAGAAATTGCATCGAAAAAGCACTTACTCTACGTTTAACGATTGCAAATCTAGGGTTTAACAACTTTTGAAGAATGCAAAGCGACCTTATTTAACAATTCAAAATCACCCGAAACATAGACGAAGTCCATTTTTAAATGCCGCACACGCAATTCTCAGTTAGATTTGTTTATAATTTCGGGGTCACAGTCACTACCAGGATAAACAACAATTCATTGCGTTGAAAATTTTAAGTTACTGGCACGTAAGGATCTGCAAAAGATTGTTAATGCGCAAGTGTAAACTGTTTTAAAAACTTTTTTTTCTAACTATTGCTACTTCGTATGCAGCACCTTTATCAATCAATCAGTTCTGACAATCTTTCAGAACAAAGCGGCCTAGTGCTTTTCTTTTTTGTTGATTTTTTGTCATTTTTCGCTTTAAAATTGTTATATTTCAATATAATCTATTACTGAATAAATAAATTCAAACTTTATTGTTATATAAAACTTTTATTTTTAATTCTTTTATTCAACGTCAGTCAATATTTTAGTAGTTAAATCATAATAGGCAACAAAAACTATTAATAGGCTATAAATCAAAATTAAAAACATTTTCAACTTATTCAGAATAAAACAACAATGTTTTTTAAAGACTCGGTGTGCCTTTAAAAGACTCAATATTTAAGATATGTATATAAAAAAAATCTTAAAAAATCATTTTCTCTCTTTTGCCCGTATATTATACTGTTACCGATTAAAAAAAATTGCAACTCTTGATAGATATCTGTGTAATGGCTATTATTGTTAGAAAAGATTGTTTAAAAGATTTTTATTGCTAATTCAAAAAAATTTAGTTGTAGTAGGATACGTTTCAGAAACAGATAAACCGTAAAAAATACTGGCAAAAGAAAAAAATCAATTATTTCAATAATTGCAGGTTAAGTTTTAGCAACAATCACGTTTGCATGTAGATGTCGATAATTGTTTGTAATCTAATTGTAGATTGCATCTATTATTAGTGTACAATGCTGATATTCGTATTTTTGAGGAAAAAAAATATTGTTATTTTTTTGAATCACCGAGTTTGTTATAGGAACGTTTTTATATAAAATCACTTTGGTGTACGATACTTTTAGCGTAAAAAACCCAAAGACCAAATTGTGGGTTTATACAAAACACAGTCTATTTAAACTATGGCTATTAAAAATAGAAATATTCCAATTCATAATTACTTTATGTTTTGTATACAAAATTAAACGGCAGCAATTTGTATTAATATTGTATTTATTATTAAATGAAAATAAATTTACATATGGTTTTTAATTCTATGTTTTGTAACTTTACATTTTTATTTTTATATAAAAAAAAATAAAACGCTTTTAACCGTATGTTTTACGGGGAAAAAAATATCCCAAAATGCACTAAATCGTTTTTTCTTCTAATTCAAAGTAATGGTGCTCCGATACGAAGGCGCGTGTTTTTTTTGTCACTGAGATACCAGTTTTAAGTTAAAAATATGGATAAACATTACTTACAAATTGCTCATCGAAGCTTTTTAAGTTTTATACAAGATGTAGATTTTCATTATTAATAAATAAAATTCCTCCAGAATAAAAAACGCGGAAAATTAAAAATGATTTTGTTGATGGTTAGTAATAGGTTTGTAAAGTTGCGAAACTATTATAGTTTCTAACGAGTGTAAAGTTAAGTGTGGGGATAAATATTTATTATCTTAAAAGTTGTAGATAACAGTAGCATTAATATATTTATAACAATAATGTTAATGAAGTATCAAATTGATACTTTATTATATTAAAAACTGTTTAATTTAAAAGAATCAAAGTGAAACCTAGTTTTAAAATTTAATTCCTGAAGTATTTTTTTGCTATATAAAACAAAATTTTGAACTTTAAAATAGAATTAATAATAAATTCTTAAAAAAATGTCTTTAAAAAAAACCGTGTTTTATTTTTTGTTTTAAATTTCTTTTAGATTTTGTATCACCAAATTTTGGAAGATATTATTTATGTAAAATGATTCTTTAAATATAATAAAATAAAGTACTTTTCCTACTGAAAAACCTTGAATGTTTTTTGAAAAAAAAAAACTAACTTGCAATACTAAGTAAATTAAAATTTACATTTGTTGACTGAAATATAGGAATTCGAAATTAAAAGCACTAAAATTTCGTTGAAAGTAAATTTTATTTTTTTAGTTAACTTGTTTTCAATGGAGTCTGATAATTCAATTTTAAGATACTAAAATTAGCGATGTCCATATTATTGCATGTATATCTTTAGGTGTAGTTACATGTTAGGTAAATACTAATGAAAGAATCAGCTGTTATGGAGCCTTTTGCTTCACCTCCTCCTCCACCTCCTCTATTAGCTCCAACTAAAATTATACTTACTCTTGAAGATAAAGAAACAATGTTGAAAGAAGAGATATTAAAAAAGTAACATAAAAGTTTTGCTAAATTATTTTTTGAATATTTTTAAAATTCTATTTAGAATTAGTAGATTTAAAATTCACTCTAGAAATATTTGATTGTTTTCATCTTTAAATATTCCTAGTTGATCTCATCTGTTATCTATTTTTTTAGATGGGATGACTTACAAATATATGTGAAGTACTTAGAGCAGCAATTAGGTAATTATATATATATATATATATATATATATATATATATATATATATATATATATATGTGTGTGTGTATATATGTATATATATATGTATATATATGTGTATATATATATGTGTATATATATATATATGTATATATGTATATATATATGTATATATATGTGTATATATATATGTGTATATATATGTGTATATATATGTATATATATATATATATATATATATATATATATATATATATATATATATATATATGTTAGACCTTTGGAAATTATTTTTCTGATTTACTTTTTGTTAAGCACTGCCCTTCTCAATATATTCTGCAAAGTTAACTTTTTTTAATGACCATCTAAATGCTATCGTTGACTAGTGGTAGAACTTTCAACTTAAAATCGAGAGGTTCTAGATATAAATTTGCACTACACTTTTCGAAGTACTATCTTCAACATGTTTCTCCTTAAGGCTTTGATCTACAAAGTTTGTGTCTTGGAATTAGGGTTGAGTCAGAGTTTTAAATGAAATTAAGAAAAAAGAAAAAAATTATAATTTTTTTGGCTGTAATGACCCTCTCTGAAGGCACAAGGAGATTTTTTTTCTTGAATTAATTTGATAATAGCAAAATAATTTTTAAAAAAATTTGCTAAGATTAACATATATCTTTATTTTACTTAAACAATGATATATGTTAGTATAATTAGTTTATTATCTGTTTAGTTTATGTGGGTCTTTATACAACCTGTCTACATTTTATATCTTTTATACTTTTTTTTTTTTTTTTTTTATATCTTTTATATCCATCTTTTTTATGTTGTTTTAGAAGATTTATCAAAACCTCTTGACCAGAAATTAAAGCTTCAGCAACAGGAGTCTGCGAGAAAAGAAAATCTTCTTGTTATGCGATTAGCAAGTAAAGAGCAAGAAATGCAGGAGCTAGTTGTAAGTATTAAGACTCTCTTTCTTATCAACATGGTTTATATGAATTCTAGTTATGATATACAAGTATAATAATTTCTAGTTATGATATACAAGCATAATATTAATGAAAAGTCATTTATAACAGTTATAGTGATAGCTATTAGTAAAATTTTTAAATAACATTTTTATTTTTGTTTTAAGGCACAAAATCAAGAGTTAAAACAAGCTCAAACTCCATCAATGAATCAGCTGCAGAGTATGCTCATTGATCCGGCTGTCAATTTACTATTCGAAAAAATGAAAACCGAACTTACGGAAACTAAAGATAGACTTGAGCAAGCACAAAATGACTTAAATGCGTGGAAGTTCACGCCCGACAGGTAAAATATTAAACAAACACAATCAACAAACAATTTATTTCATTGGATTTGTGAATCCGCTGTGTAATGGCAATCAAGATTTTGAATGGTTGTTCGTCACAGATTCAAATACTAAGTAATAATTTTACGGAATGCAACTCTTGATAGACAAGAAAAACTCGTTAAGAAGAGTCCTGGTCTAAAAGAGTTAACCGAGATTTTAAGTAGGAATTTATAAGTTGCATAGTTGAAATAGCTATATGCTATAACTTTCAAATAAAAATGATTTAAGTAATAAACAAAGTGCTTATGTTTGGTGGTCAGTGATGATTCTTTTTACTTTTAAATTTGCATTTGTTTTTATATTTTAATATCTAGAAATTAACAAATGATATATTCAAACAGCAATGACATCACCATAACAATATTTAACTATTTATTTTGTGTCTTTTGTGTGCAGAAGTTATTTTGTATTTGACCAAATGAAATTTTCTTTTATTTATGGGATATAATTACCGCAAGGCTTTTAGAAAATGATTTAGAGATGTTTATAAACAATAAAGTCTAATGCTTAATGAAACTATGAAGTGTCAAAAACTAAATATGTACTTGTGCCAACATCGATAGAAAAGTCCAGCGAATAATCAATCCAACATTATTATACTCAGTCTTCTTTTAAAGATTTACTTTAAACTGATAATTTTTTGTCAGATTTTTATATTTATGGAAAGTTGCTGATTATCAAGCGGATTGTACCTTATCAAAGATGTTTTGAATATTTTCAGTTTATTAAAGCAAACTTTTGTGAAAATATTACGGTCATTGGATAGTTTACAATTGTAGCAGATTGTTGGTTCTATATTAACATTATAGTGTTAGCGTAATGCAACATCAATTCTGCCTGTTGTAGGACAGTATTGTATTAATAACTGTGCATCTTTGACTTTTGAAATAAAATCTTTAATTGATCAAACAAGGATAGCTGCTTTTTTTAGTGAAGCAAAAGTCAGCATGTTAAAATATTTTATGTTTTGTCTATTAAATTTCCATTAATTATCAAATTTATTGATTCAAGAAGAGCACTTACTTTTTTTTATAGTTCAAGACTTTTCTCTGCTTTTTCTTAGTGTCACTGGAAAGAAACTAATGGCAAAATGTCGCATGTTAATTCAAGAAAATCAAGAACTTGGAATGCAGTTGTCACAAGGTAGAATTGCACAATTGGAGGCAGAGTTATCGTTGCAAAGGAAATATAGTGAAGAACTAAAAGCTAGTCAAGATGGTAAGAACTTTTCACAAATTTTTTACTTCATTTTCAATCAGGATAACATTAGTACATTTTAATTTTTTGTTTAATTTTGTTTTATTTTACAAAGAAATGAATGAGTTTGTGATCCAGTTAGATGAAGATATGGAAGGCATGCAAGCAACAATATGTGCATTGCAGCAACAATTAAAAGATGCAAAAACACTAAATCAAAGATTAGAGCAAGAAAATAAACAATTGCGTAAAGCAACCGAATATACTTTATCAACACATAAAAATCAACATTTTGATGGTTCAAACTCTATTGAAGAAAAAAATTTCGGAAGCAGTCACTTGAAAAACTATGAAAAATTAGACGTGCTTGAAAGAAATCATTTAAATCATCAAGCTGTCAAATTAGAAGAAGACTCTATTGAAAGAACAGATCCGAATGACAAAATCGGTTCGCCAATGAGTATAGACAGAAATAGTGAAGTTAAACTTCAGTTGGACTCTTCTACTAATGGTTGTACTGACCTGTATAAAGACAATGAAATTTCAGTGCACCTAGATCATTCACCTGATGATTTTGCTCACTCCGTAAATATAAACAATGAATCTTCACCTCGGTTACCCAAAGGAGTTACAAAGACTTCATTTTCTATTACCGATCTTTTAGCTGACAGTACAAATAAAGAATCTTGCAATACAATTTCTGAAGTGACTATGGAAATACAAAAGCGAGAAGAAAGAAACGGTGTTCTTAGTGAAGCTGATGGTTCAGCTGTCTAAATATATTTATTTTTTTAAGTTTTCTTTTTTATTGTCTCTAAAATGATAGAATTTGACGTATTTATTATGCAACAAGATGATTGTTTTAAATCTACAAAATTTATTACTTCAAAATTAAACAATAGATCTTTGCTAGATGCTTTGCTAGATTTTAATTTTTTTTTTTTTTTAATTTAATCTTCATTATTTTCATTTTTTTTTTTTTTGAATAAACCAAGAAAATTTGATCCTTTATTGTACAGCTGTTATTATTAAAAAAAGAACAAATTATTTCATTGCGTTGTGTGATGGATATCAGTAAAATAATTAAAGTTGAACTTTAATAATAACGTTATAATAAAGATTTTGGCTATGGTTAAGTTTACTTAAAAAGTTCTTTTTTTGATTCTTATATCAAATAAAATCCGAAAGAGTTTGAATTAAATTTCCTAAATATAATAAAGGTTTAATTTTAAATAGCTCTTATTGAAATTTTTTTTATATATATATATATATATATTTTTACTCTACTTTTAAAATTTTCCGATTTTAGTCAAGTTTTTTTATTATGCTGTTCAAGTCAAATGAATATTGTTTGATATTATTAGTTAAAAATAATATTCGCTATACTAGTTTACTTTATTTAAAAGTAGTTTTATGACTGATCCAACGATCTATAGTTTTTTTTTTCTAATTTTTTAGTAATTGATTTATAAAAAACGAGCATTAATAAAACGCAAAAATTTTCAACGTGTAAAAGGCGGAAATCGAGTTACTAGTGTTTTATACATCTGTAAAACGTGTTAATACATTTAAACATGTAAATGAATGCTGTTACATCGAGTGTGTGTTTAGGCAATGATATGGTTAAGTGAAATATGCTGTACACTATTCCTATGTTTTACCCGTTGAAAATTTAGGCATTTATACCCATGTCCCTAAAAAACGACGCACCGCTCGATGTGTGTCGATTTTTAAGGACACTTTTTTTCTTTGTAAAATTCGCATTTTTTAAAAACTGAAAGTTAAACTTTCATTCCAAATAAAATACTTAAAATTTTTCAACAAATCCAAATAAATTAGTAATAATTTAAGTAAATTTGAAATTTTTGAATATTTTATGTTGCACGAGATGTTAAAAACACTGATATTTGTCTATTTCGCTCAACAAAAAAAAAAAAGTTTTACTTTGCCACACTTTACAAAATTCGTGTTTGTAACCATTATTAAGTAGTAGAAAAGAGTGTAAGTCAAAAAGCTATTTATAAAAATATTTTGACTTTTATGATTGTTTTCTGTTGATATATATGAATAATTTGGTTATGAATCAACTTTTAATAGTGTATTTGAAACATTACTAGATTACGATTACATTAAACATTATTAGATCATAGCAATTCGATAGTATGTTTTTATATAATAAAGATTATAAAACTAATAATGCTTGGATAAGCCATTTGCTACTCCATAGAAAACATTTTAAAATCTAACCTTCAAATATATGTGTATATATATTTGAAGGTTAGGTTTATATATATATATATATATATATATATATATATATATATATATATATATATATATATATATATATAATATATATATATATATACATATAGGGCTCAATTTAATTTTTTATAAAGTCCAGGACAAAATGTCCGATCAAAACTTGTTTTGGTCGGACATTTTGTCTGTGTCTTTATAAAAAATTAAATTGAGTGCCTGATCAAATTTTTAAACCATAATTTTAACGGTTTTGTGGAACCGAGTTATGCAATCAAAATCTTTGTCATGTTATTCAGTTTATTTAACGTTAGTCTAGTGAAGTTGTATTTCCTTTCCTTACTACTGAGATTAATTCATCGTAGATTTTTGTTTTTTAATAAAATAAATTCAATTTAAAATTGCACGTTTTTATAGATAAATTTAAAACTTCAGGCTGTTTATTGACAACACTTAATTTTTTTTTTCTTTACAAATTGACAAAGGCTGTTTTAAGGTGGAATGCAAGAAGCGAACTTGAGTCAAGCTCGACTTGAACTTTACATTGCAACCAATAGCGACAGAGTATGGATTTTCCTCTCAAAAAATACTCTGCCGCTATTGGTTACAAAGTAAAGCTCAAGTCGATCTTGACTCAAGTTTGCTTTTTGCATTCCACCCTTATTGTTTTAACAATTTATATGCAATTAAAAAAGTCGTTACATTACGAATAACTTTTAATCGTTAATTTTAAAATTTTTTTTTTTTTTTAATTAAAATGATCGTTTAAACGTTTGAAACTATTTCGATGTCGTTCTAAAAAATTTTTAAAAGATTATTTTTTTAAGTTACTTTAAATGATGAATAAGTTTAATTAAGATTTGTCTTAAAATTTTCCCATGATTTAATTGCTTTATTTTATTTTTTATTTTTGTTTCTTTCTTTACAAAGAATTGTTTAAAAGTTTTATTTTTTAAACTTGACTTACTAATTAAATCATGAAATGATTAAAAATTACGATATTAAAAACGTAACGTTATTTTTAAACTTACATTAAACGTTTTAAAAGATCAGTTTTAAAGTAATTTTTTTCAAATGCGATTAAAAAACGTAACAAAAATAATTTTTACTTCGAGTTTTTTTAGTTTTATTTTAAAGGTAATTTTTTTTTGTAAGGAATTGTTTTGCTTATTCTTTAGTTTTTTAATTTTTTTCCAAGTATAAGTTTAGGTTAACATTTCTTTTTTTGCGCATTTCTGAAACGTTTAAATCATCAAAACATCTAAACAGTCGTGATCATTTTGAAAACAAAAAAAATCATTTGCGTGGTCAGCAAAAGGGATTTTGCTGTTTGAGAAACTTTATTACAACAAAAACTTACGGCTATCAGTAGTTCGCGCACTACAATCATTATACCGCTCGGGTACAGCTAATATATCATACCTTGGACATAAATCAAATAATTTCCGCTTGTCTCAAGGTGTGCGACAAGGATCCATTTTATCGCCACATTTATACAACATTTACACTGAAAGTATATTAAATCAAATTGTTTCCGATTGTAAAGTTGGAACAACAGTAATGGTATCCACTGGTATTGTTGTTTATGCAGATGATACAATCCTGCAAAGTCCTACTCTTTCTGTGCTACAAAAGTTGATTATTAAAGTTCAAACGCAATGTCAAAACCTCTATATCAAATTAAACACAGAAAAAACCGACTTCATTATCTCCGGTAAAAGTTTAATTACAAAAAACATAATACAAATTAACGGTTTTTTCCTGAAACTCAATAATAAACTGAAACACCTCGGATTCTTATGGGAAAATCAAGACCATGGACAAAATATAGCTACAATCCAATCAGCAAATGTAAACGAAAGAATTATTCAATTTCAATCAATCTCCAGAGCTCTTATAAAATCTGGAATTTGTTTTTGTCAACGAGTAACTATAGTGCATTTGTCCAAATCTCTGGCTATACCAAATCTATCATATGTTATTAGAAATTTGTGATTATAGCAATACTTTTCTTAATAAATTAGACGCTGTTGGAAGATCAGCATTAAAAAATTAAAAATCGATGACGTATCTATCATCCTCGCTCAAAACAAATTGAACCAGTTTATCAGATTACTGAGCAATCCTACTTGTCTTTTCTTGATTTTAACTCAAATATCTAATCTTAATAAGAAAAACTGCTTTATTAACAAAATAATGAAAAATTGCAACCACTTAGAATTAAGCTTCATGCAGTGTTTGATTAAGGTGGAAAAAATCATTATCAAACGTCGTAACGATGACGCAGAAGATAATATTGCAGAAATTTTAAACCAGTCCTTTGAGTTCTGGAACATCAGAGAGCAGAGAATGTTATTCAAAAATTTAATGGAATAAAGCATTCAAAGAAGAATCTAAATTAGAATTTTAACTTAGAGTATAAACTATTAGTTTTATGACCTCTGCATTTTTTACCTGTAATTTTGGGTGATGAAAAGAATAAATAAAAGCGTTCACTCGCACGCCAAATTTCATTTTGTAAAATTTAATACCTGTCGTTCAAAATGTCGGATTACTTTGTAAATTGAACGGACAATCTGAGATTTTAGCTGGACAATGTCAGATGTCCAACTGGTAATGTGAGCCCTATATATATATATATATATATATATATATATATATATATATATATATATATATATATATTATATATATATATATATATATATATATATATATATATATATATATATATATATATATATATATATATATATATATATATAAATATATATATATATATATATATATATATATATATATATATATAATATATATAATATATATATATATATATATATATATATATATATATATATATATATATAATATATGTTATATACATAAGTATTTATATATATATATATATATATATATATATATATATATATATATATATATATATATATATATATATATATATAAATATATATACATGTGTGTGTGTGTGTAATATATATTACATAGAAGTATATATATATATATTTTTTTTTTTTTTATGTATATATATATATATATATACTTATATATAACATATATTATATATATATATATATATATATATATATATATATATATACATATATATATATATATATATATATATATATATATATATATATATATATGTATATATATATATATATATATATATATATATATATATATATATATATATATTATATATATACATATATATATATATATATATATATATATATATATATAAATATATATATATATATATATATGTATGTATATATATATATATATATATATATATATATATATATATATATATATATACATATACAGGGCTCACATTAACGGTTGGACATCGGACATTGTCCTGCTAAAACCTCAGATTGTCCGCTCAATTTACAAAGTAATCGGACATTTTGACCAACAGAAATTAAGTTTTACAAAATAAAGTTTTATATTATAATTTTAAATTATATATTAAATGAAAGTTTATATATATATATATATATATATAT